GAAAGGTGTGCATCTCTATCTTCGCAATGAATGGATCCTTTAGCAGAAAAGCAGCTAGGGAAGGCTGAGGGGTGGACAGCTTCTCTGTCTTTCGAAGACAACAGTGCTCAGGGTGTGAAGAGACTGGATATCTGCTGCTCGAACGTCTGCAGGTCACCATCCCTGTCCTTTATCTGAACACAAGTGCTCACACATGCAGATGTGATAGCTTCCCTCCCCGCCGCCCCCCAAACATACAGAAGACTCTGTTCGAAGAGCAAAGGTGACAGTCTGCTGCTTCATGACAGGTCAGAGAGGGAGGGAGATGGCACAAGGGAGCTGGGGTGGGGGTCTTCACAGATACGACCCAGAGAGCCCAGCTGGCTTCTGTGGGTGGACGCAGAACTCCGGTCCTCACCGGCCACGACTGGTCAGAGCCTCGACATGAAGGATCACAATTACCTTGGCAACCAGACAGCCGGCAAAACTGTTACTTGGCGATTTCCGTAGATTCCCCGTCCCCGCCCCCCACACCCCCCATCTCCCATGGCGGCACATACAACACTCTCCCCCTTTAACGCATCTCTAAGATCCCAAGACTGTGTTTGGGGGAATGAGGGGAAAGGGGGGAAAACGGATCCAAGACACGGGGAGAGAGAGCCTTTTCTAAGCCCACGTGGGAGGTCGTGGTTTGGATGACCTCCTCCCACTGGTGACAGGAGACAGACAATTGGGGGACAGAGTGAAGGGGAAGAGGGGGTGATGAGCAGCAAAGCCAGAACGGCAGGCGGTTCATTTGCTCATTGTTTCCAGAAACCACGAAAATGGAACAAAAGCAGAGGGGATACGCGGAAGGTATTTGCTCCCATGTCCGTTTCTGTCCCTCCCTCCCCTCCTTCTGGAGGCCCTATTATGGAAACCTGCCTCAGGGGCCTGTGCCCACCTGGTTCCCGCTGGCCGGCTTGCTGGCCTTCTGCTCACCCACCCTTCACACGCCACGGCGTGCCTGCTGCTGGCTCCGTGCTGGGCTCTGCGGCCCCCAGTTCAGACGGACTGGCCTCTGCCCTCCCCACGCCCTCCCACCCCCGCACCTGCAGCGGGCCAGGCGGAAAACCACATTAGTACAAGAGTGCAGCCCAAGGCCGGGCACAAAGTGAGGGCCTGAGCTCAAGCCTAACAGGAAAGGACTTGCTTTTTGTTTACTTGCCTTTATTTTTTTCAATTTTCCATTTTGGAATGTTTTGAGGCAGGAGAGTTGAATTCTTCCCTCCACTTCACCAGGCGTCCCCTAATGTTCTTCCCGATGTTACCGAAGGATAACTGAGGACAGCTGCACACATTTAACTCATGATTTGGTGGCTTTGGACACAGGCAAACACCTGTGAGACCGTTACAAGGGGTAAGGCATCCAGCTCCTTCCAGAGTTTCCTCGTGTCTTGTGTGTATGTGTGTGTGCGTGTGTGTTTGGTAAGAACACTTAACACGAGAGCTAACTTCTTAACAAATGGATTCTGAAGTGTACAATTCCATACTGTTAACTCCAGGTACTTCATCGACAGCGGGTTTTGAGAATTTATTCATCTTGCAGAAGTGCAACTGCCCACCCGCTGGATAGCATGGCCCCCCATTTCCTCCCCACTCCAGCCCCTGCAGCCACGATTGTATTCTCTGCTTCTATGAGTCTGATCCTTCAGAAATTCCCCATCAGTGGCATCATGCAGTACCTGTCCAGTGACTGGCTAATTTCACTCAGCATAACGTCCTCCGGGTTCATCCACGTTGTTGCAAATCCTTCAAAAGGATTTCCTTCTTTTTAAGATGGAATAATATTCCTTTTATGTGTAGCCCACATTTTTTAAACCATTCATCCACTGATGGACACTTGGGTTGTTTCCACATCTTGGCTATTGTGAACAGTGTTGCAATGAATCGGGGGATGCAGATGCTACAACTTAGTGGTCGCAGCAGAGGCAGTACTGAGAAGGACTCCCTTTTGATTAGGTGCTCAGGGAAGAAGGCCTTTCTGTTATTTAGGCCAAAATCTGAAGCCTTGGTATTGCATCACTGGGCCACCGTAAATGTTGTCCAGGTTGTACACTGCACAAATCTGGGGGATGCTATTTGCATTATAGTCATTTTGTACAAAAATATGCAGAAACTCTGAATGCACATCCAACCCTCTACACCCTAACTGTCCTTCTGAACAGCTTTTCCCCATCTCCTAGCTATGTATTCAGGCTTACTTCTGGTCTTCTGGTGGGACTCAGTGGTGTGTGTGTGTGTGTGTGTGTGCAGAGAGAGAGAAAGAGGGAGAGGGAGAGGGAGAGAGTGAGAGAGCAAGATATTGAGGGAGGAAGGGAAGAGATAGAATATTCTGTATATAATCCTTCAAAAAGCTACCAACAGGAAAAGCAACACTTTAAGTTCTAATAAGAAAAGCCATTTAATTATGGAGGAAAAGCCAACTAGAAGTGTAGCTATTGGCAGAACAACTGTGCTAATTATTAAGGGATAAAAGGGGGCAAAATTAAAAGCAGAGCTTCACTGTCGTGCACTTGAAGGCAATATGAAGGACTGAAAACTGAGATAGATTTCCAGATCGAGTCTGGGACTGGTGCTTGGAGTCTGGCCTCATTTCAAGCCAAAGCATTTTGATGTTGCAGGAGGAAGATGATATGATGAAGGACTGAAGGTCAAAGCTTTCGTGCAAGGAAGAGCATGCTTCTGATTTTTACAAGCTGGTATATTGTTCATGCTGCATAACCAGCTTGCTTACTATGATTTAAAAAATAAGAGCTGGAAGGAAATTATGTCAAAACGTTATTGGTGATTACCTTCTTTGGGTGGTAGATTGCAGTACATCCCCTCTTCCTTCTTGTGTGTGTGTGAATGTGTGAGTGTGTGTGCAACTTATTTTCTCCAATGAAAAAAAATTTTTTTTAAGGTAAGAATCCTTTGGTTCTTCTAATTGAAGTTTTAGTGTGGCTAGGATGGCGTATCAAATTTTTCCCTCTAAAATGGCAAAAAGCCATTGTGTATTTTAGTTTCAGAATATTCTTCAGTATCAGAGGAACTGCGTTATTCTAGAAGAAAATGCGTATGCCAGAATATGGAATATTCAACGAGATAAATCCACACTTGGCCTTCAAAATAGCTAAGGATAGATTTTATTTTTGCTTAGTCCTAATTTTAGTGTAGATGAAGCTCAATCCTTCAACATTTAAAAGTTATATTAAAAGGCAGACCTCTAGGGGCCAGAAACCAGATTCTCAAGCTTGGATAGCTAGAGTACTTTCTGAAGGCCATTTTGTTTTTATGACCATTTGGCTCAGAATTAATGAGAACTACTTTGCATAGACATCATTTCATATTCCAAAGCAGTACCTTTTGGGGATTCTTCCATTCACCTTGTAGATATAGATTATCAAAGTTGATTTTTTTTTTGCTCCCAACACATGCGTGTTCTAGTCTATGAACCTCAGAGATAATTATCTTTTCAGGCCTACAATTTTAGAACATTTATCAGGTTATTAAAACCACTAATTATGGTGGTAAACACCCAAGGAATTTGGAGACTCTTGGAAAGATTAAGAAAACCAACTTCAGAGATTCCTTTGGAGGGAAGGGGTACACAGAAGAGGAAAAGCTTTGTGTCCCCACTGAACCCTGATATTTTGACATCTCTTGGAATTGTTTCTTTTTTCTTCTCAGAGAGGATCCTTCTTGTGACTGAGATCCCGAGAAGGCCAGTGATGACTACATATAAAATCTGAGGCTGGTCGTGATATCCCCAAGTGTTTTAAACCACTAAAATGCTTTGTGATCTCTGAGTTCACAGCACCGGAATTACACCACCTTCGGGGGAGAACCGTGTAGTCTGGGACAGATGGTGAAGACCTTTGCTGGCTCGGGATCCTCAGTGCCAGATATGCTAAGCCCATTCAAAATATCTTTGAATGCCTGTCCATCTCAGCAGTTTATCCTCAGGACTGAAGGGAGCTAAAGGAACCTCCATTTTACTTGGTAGGTTCAACCAACCCCTAAGAAGTTGGGCAATGGGGAGATGAAGCATGAAAGCCTGAGGAAGATCCTATTATCATGATAATTGTCAATATGGTGAGTTCTCTGGGGGAAAATCAGGGAAGGGGAATGGACGTGCTGGGGGTACTGTCAACTGCCCGTGGAGACAGGCCTTCCCATCCCCCCCCACACACACCTGCTACCCCCTCACCTGCACGGGGACGTGCTGCAGAAATCTGCCACCACCACTCTTTCCCACAGCTCTGTCCTCACAGTTCGCCCCACAGTCAAACCTTCTGCTCAGGTCTCATTAGCCAGTGGGACTTCACAGAGGCCATTTAAAATTGCAAAGGTGTAATAAGAAATCCATAGATAGGACCTACTCTATGTGAAGCACTGTTTTAAACATGCGGCAAATGTTAACGCATTTTATCCTCACAACAACTGTACAAGGTAGGTATTGCTATTACCCTCATTTGTCGAGGGAAAGATCGAGGCACACAGAGGCTGAGTATCTTGCCAGAGGTTATGCCATTGGCAGGTGGTACCAAATTCGAACGCAAGCGGTCTGACTCCAGTAAGTTACACTATCATGAACTAAGTCCTTGCCATCTAGCTCACAAAGAACACAAAAGAAGGGACATCGGGGTGATGGGCTTCTCATCCCCATTCTTTGGATCTGCTTGGTCTCACAGTCCAGGCTTCCTATGGAAGAGGGAGGAGCAAAAGCCTCCCCCTCGGGCCCCTGCGAGCCTGCTCTCCTAGGGTGCCTGAAAACCACGTGGACTCACGCACACCTGCCCGGACACAGCTGCTCTGGTGTTAATGCTGCCTGACAGCTGCTCATGGGGAGAAACAAAACCTCATCACGTGGCCTTGTTCCCCTGGTGCTTCCCCTAAGAACCAGGGTTAAACCCAGCAGAAAGGATCTTTCTTGGGACGTTAGTTTAAAACGATACCTGTTCCGGTGTGGCTTGAAACCTCAGACCACTGATTTTTCTCATTGTCCTTTGGAATCCTCCTGTGATCTCTATCCTAGATAAAAGAGATTAACAGAAGTGTTGAAAACAACTTCCACATCACGTAGCTAGGTAAGTGAAATGTTCCAGACCCGGGCATCCAAACTGCCTGGAGATCATGTTAAAATGCAAATTCTGATTCAGTGGATCTGGGGTTAAATGGAAGATTCTGCATTTCTAGCAAGATCCCAGGGGACGGTGATGGGAGCGGCAAGGTTCTAGAGCATTTCTCTCACTCCTAGAAAAGGAAGTCCTCCGCAAAGGGAGAGAGTATTTTCAATCCCAGATTGTTCTCCTCTCCTGAGTTAAAAATATCTCAAGGGATGATTTTATCGCACAGAGCTGTATGCCTATGTAGAAGAGTTGTATTGACTATGCGGTGGCTGAATACAATACGCGGTGGCTGAATACAATACATGCCGAGTTTGTATCTAAGCAATCAGTGTGTCCATTGTCCACTGGCTTTTGGTGTGGTGACCGATTGGGATACGTGTGCGAATCGAACGCTGCACAAATCTCAGTTCAGAAAGCCTTCCTAAGGGGGTAGGACGTGGAGCCTGCTTAAGAATGAGAAGTCAGGGACCCCTGGGTGGCTCAGTTGGTTGGGCGTCTGCCTTCGGCTCGGGTCATGATCCCGGGGTCCTGGGATCGAGTCCCGCCTCAGGCTCCTTGCTCAGTGGGGAGCCTGCTTCTCCCTCTGCCTGCCTCTCTCCCTGCTTGCGCTCCGTCTCTCTCTCTGACAAATAGAATCTTAAAAAAAAGAATGAGAAGTCAAACGGCAGGGGTGTGGGGTGGCTGATAGGCACTGGGCTAACGGTTCGGGGCCAGGCATCTCCTACCGTCCCCTCTTTCACTTTCTGAAGTGGTGTTGAGAGTGCCCAGTCACGTACATGCAAGCACACCAGCTGAAAAGGCCACGTGACACAACTTGTATGTAGACAGAGTTGAATCCAGATCTGCTCAAAGACTCGAGCACCTGTGCTCCCTCCCCTAGACCCCCCCACCCCCAGCACCTTGTGAAGGGGGCATGGAGCCGGTTGAAGAGCTGGGATGGGAAGGAGACCATGGACAAAGAGCTTCAGCAAGTGACCTGCAAAGGGTAGGGTTGGGGCTTGTCTGTAGAGGGTCAAGGGGATAAGGAAGAAATCTAGAATACCCGGAGAGGAGCTGTTAACACGGAGAGGAACCATGTTTTGTGTGATCTAACTTACCACAGAACTTAGTGTGTGAACAATAAAGGGTTGACTCTGCAGCTCTGGGTTGCCCAAGCCCCACAATTCCAAAGAAGGTGTGGCCTTTGCCTGGCTTCTGGGAGATCACCTCTAAGTCCTTGGAATATCCTGCTTGATGAGCGTGCCTTGGCTCACCTTGTTTTACCTTGGGCCATGCTAGATAGTTTACACTGTGATTTACAGCGGAGGCCTTGTCCATGGGGTGTCAGTTTGACCTTAGGATGGGCTGGAAGCTGAGAGCTAAGGTCCGCTGTATGAGCACTCAAGGCCTACACAACAGACTTCCCCCAAATCCCCGGACACGAGGCTTGGGTGAGCTTCCCTGGGCCAGGCGATACTCTTTTTGTCACACAGCAGTGCTGGGAGAATTAAGTGCCGTCCGTATAAATCCACTGGGAGAGTGGATCGTGGACTGGAAGCTAGTGTCCTGTGTCTCCCAAACTCTGCCCTATGCACCTTTTCCCTTTGCTGATTTTAATCTGTGTCCTTTCAGTGTTGTAGACCGTCATCCTGAGTGTAGCAGGTTTTCTGAGTTCTGTTAGACCTTCTAGCAGATCACTGAATCTGAGGGTGGACTTGAGGACCCCGATAACACTTAGAGAAGAACTCGACACCAGTACTGAGGGCCAACTTGGGTGGGTGGATTGGGGAAGCCTTTAGTTTGGTTCAGATCAGTTTTTACTGAGCACTTCCTACCCACCAGGCCATACTAGTCATTGGGATAGGAAGATGAGTCAAGTCAGAATCCCTGCTCTTCAAGAAAACCCAGTTCCTGAGGAGATCCCAAGGAAAACACCAATTTCATTCAGAAGCCCTAAGTGAGAGAGAGACACACAGCATGGTGCCATGGGGTTCCGGGGGTGGGCACCCAGCAGGATGGACATTCAGGAAAGGAAGGCTTCCTGGAGGACAGCATCCCTCGTGGACCACCCTGGAGATTTGGGGGACTTGGTCACAGTTCAAGGAGCTGCCTTTCTCCAATTATGTAACAGTTGCTCATCCTGGGGGTACTTTTGTTCCTGGAAGCACAGGTGCTGGGGTGCGAGGGAGTAGGTGTGTTTCCCACAAACCGAGGGGACTGCATAATTCATCAGACACCGAAATCAAAGTTGGGCTTCATTGGAAAAAGGAGACCCAGACTGTTTGTGTCTCTGTGGCTCCCCCTGAGGCTGTCTGTGGGGCATCCGCGCATTACGCCTCACGTAGCTGCTGACACCTCCACGCACCCCTCAGGTCGGAATTCTGCAGCACAGATTCATAGCACCTGAGGGGAGCATCATTCCAAGCCCCCTCATCCCCACCCGGGCTGGACCAGAAGCTCATGAAGTCCCCCTGATTCACAAGGGTTGAAAAGCCTTGCTCATTTCTTAACATTAGTGGGGTTTCCATTCTCTCTCTCTTCCAAGGGACATGACTACCAAGGAGTGGAGGGGGCCCTTAGGATTCCCGCCTCCCATTTCTTCACGTGTTTCTTTATTTATAACCCTTCCCCCACCCATTCTGTAAGGCACTTACCTTTGACCTGTACTTACTTTTGAAACGCTTTACTGCTTACCTCCAAGATGATGATGACAATCCTTGTTCTCTCCTTTTCAAGTCCCTCTGCCTATATTAGTGTTCCTTTTCAGATGAAATCTATGCAGGTCTTCGTGTACAATGTCCAGCCCGATGCACATTTTTTGACGGAGGCTGTCGGCCACGGCGCTAATGACGGTCATGACGATTAGACACATACCCTCGTGGCCACTATCCAGACGCACCACAAAGATGCAGCAACATACCTCTCATTCAGGGATCCCTCCTCTCCCCCGGGGATCCCACCTCTAATGGACATTTCCCCCCTCTTGTCTGCCCAGCCTTATATGCCTCCTCCTGGGTTTGGAGAATTGTCTGATCTTGGTGGAAGGTGGAGCTTACCACCGGAGAGAGAAATAAAAGGCTCTAGGCCTGTTTTCCGGACCCCCTGGGATGGTGCACTCACCTGGGATTCTGATCTGAAGGAGGGAGCCGGGAATTCATCGCGGTGAAGCTGGTGGCAGAGACAGCCCCATAGGGTCTCCGGGAGTCCAACAGCAGCATCGGCGGGGGTCCAAGTTAGCCTGGGCTGTGATTCTGGCTGGCTGGCTGCTTCCTCCTGCCTGTGCTATGGGCTTCCAGCTACCCATGCTTTTCAGTAAACTACTTTTCCACTTGCACCAGATGGAGCCAGTTTCTTTTGCTTAAAACTAGTGTCGACTGACACATAATGCCCTTTAACACACACGTGCCTCCCACTGTCTTCTTTCTGAGCTGTCCTACCCCGGGGGGAGTCAGCAACTTTTAAAAGGCACATGGGTGGATGGGAACTGTGATTCTAAGTGAGGGACAGAGATGATGAAGACAGAAGAGAGAAATTTCTCTCCTCACTGATAGCTGGAAAAGAGGCTTCGGGGCTAGAATGGAACCAGTAATTCCAGCATCTTATAAAGCACTTTTCAAAAAGTTACTAAAGCCAACAATAGGAGAAAAAGAACAAGAGTTTCTTTCTTGTTCTCTTCTGAATTGCTCTCCGATTCCCGCTCTCACCCAACTCTGAAAGCACGTACTTGCTTACACATACTTGAAATGTTTATGATCTATTTCCTCCAGGATTAGTCTTCAATCTGTTATCTATATAAGAGCTGTTCTTTTTTCTATACAAAACCTGAGGGGAAAATGTGGCTCTCTACCAAACACTGCAGCATCTCCCCCTCCCCCACAAGCAGACACAATTACTTAAAACACACAACATGATCTTCTTTATTTAATTGTTTAATCAGTTTACATTCCACAACTGACAGATTATTTATTTTTATTTTTTCCATGAACAAGTCATTTAATTAATTACCAGACACTTTTTTTTTCTTCAATCGATGGAAAGACAATATTTCTGCCAATTTGAAAAAGAAAATTGCAAGATGCAGTCAGTGTCAGTGAAGTCCCCAAATGCTCTCTGCTTCCTCAGTCCTTGCAAAAATCACAGGAACCTGGCAATTTCCCTTTTCATCCCCCCTCCCACTTCCCTGTTAAATTCACCTTTCCGAATAGCACAACAGTTTCAAGATCTGGTTTGGATCACCTTTCCTGTAATTAATTAATTATGAGAAGGAACAGACAGTACAATAGATCTGATAAGATGTAGCATACTTGTTAAGATTAAACAACACATTTATTCACATCGTATCAGAACGAATTAACATAATATTTAATCTTATTTTAGCACCAATAACCGCAGGAATTGCTACCTCCCAGGGCGGAGGTGGTGTTGGAATCCTGCAGTACACACCACTCCTTGTCTAACCAATCAGAAAGCACTATGCAAATGAAAGGTAAATTCATAGAAATTTATATTGACCAAGCAATAATCTGGTGGACCATAAACACTCCCCAGGTGTTTGAGAGTTTCGTCAGCTACGGCCCCTGTCTAATGACCACATATATAAAACATACTCACCAAATCGGCTCATTTTCTTTCACTTGGTAACATACATACGGCTCAGAATGTTCTATTTTAAATGAGTTAAATCTTGTCATACTGGCTCTTTGAAATGCTTTGAGAATGCCCAGGGGTTGCCTGCTTGCATTTTATTCTGTTCTCTGTGCTAAGATCTTGCAACTTGTCTTCTTCCCCATCCACCCCAGCCCCAAAGAGAAGAGGTTTCTTCACATCTAAGGAAGGTCCCTAGTTAGCGAGGACAGATAGGCAATGGTGGGCTGAGTTCCCAGTGCAAGGGACAGAATCTGTCACCACCACCTCCTAGAAAACCCAGCCTTGCCCGTGGTCACTGCTCTCTCCAGTACATCCCCTTTCAGCACTTGACTTTAAGATACAAATGTAAGGAAATTAAGGGGTTGAAAAAAACAGCTCCCAATATTGGTGAGATGTTATTAGCAGGTGACTGGGACTAGATGACAAAATGATGTGATCATTATTCTTGACCACGAGGAGGCCTGTCTGGCCCCCCTCTCCATTGTAAGATAAAGGACGTGGGCATAAGGGATAAGTTGATGCTCCCGTAGATGAAGAAAGTGACCTGCTCTGGCCTCTAGAACTTTGATGAGTCATTGGCACCATGCCCAGGGGTAGTGCTGACACCCTGTGGGGCAGATGTGACATGTATTTGACAAGCAATGGTCCTCCCCTCCGACTAGGCAGGTGAGGTGGAATTTCAGGGGCCAGGATGGCAGCCTGGCCACCCCTGCTGTGCTCCCTACTCTTGGCCAAAGCCAACCTCTGGCCTCTGTCAGCTGGGAGATCCGAGTGACTTACAGGGGAGGGGGTCCTATTCGGTCTCTTAACAAAGAGTCTAAACCTTTGCTGCCCTCTCTGGCAGCCAATTGCCACGTGTGGTTGTTGAGCACTGGAGATGTGGCTGGTCCAAACTGCAGTGTTTTCTAAGAATAAAATCCACACTGGATCTCAAAGGCTTCATGAAAAGACAACAGATGTAAAATATTTCAGTAATGTTTTATATTGATTCCATGTTAAAATAATGACTTTTGATATGTTGGGTTGAAATAGGTGTTAAAATGAATTTCACCTGTTTATCTGGACTTTTAAGGGGGGGGTACTAGGATATTCAAAATTGCATATGTGGCTTACATTCTATCTCCGTTGGACGGCACTGGTCTAAATCGCCTTCCTGAAGCCGGTCCCAGGATGATGATCACTGTGGCCTGTCGGAAGGGAGGAAGGTTTGGACAGAAGGCGCCATGGATGGGAGGGTTAGGTGAAGCTTGGTGTGAACCCCTCGCCCCCCACAAGGGCCCTTCATCTTCTCAGTCCTAGGGGAGGCAGCTCCTTGTGCTATCGGATTACCCATTCCCTTACTTCAGAGTGCCTGGCCTTTCAGGGATCCGTCTCGCTGCTTTGCGGAGGATGCTCTGGTGACTCTGCCTTTTCCCCTTCCGAAAGGTTTATCTTTCCTCCACTGGCAACTCACAGCTGCTGCCCACTGCCCTTACCCCACCCCCCAGCCCCCAGTGCTTTCTTCGTTCTGACGTGGCGGCATCCCCCAGCCGGCCTACCCGCTTCTGACCTCGCAAACCAGGTTTGTACAGTGAGTCACAGATGACAAGCAATTCACAGGCGCCCTCTCCTCTGATACTCTTCTCCTACCCCAGCTGGCAAAACTCTGTTGGTAAGGACAGTAAAATGAGAATGGCAAAGTGGGTGGGAAAAGGCATCTGAGAACAAAAAGGTAGATCAAAGGCTTTGGACTGGAGCACAAACTGGCTGTTAGCGCAAGGTTACTTTCTGAGGAGTGAGAGGGGCAAGAGGAGCAGGGAGTAAAACCCTCCAAACGGGCCTTCAGGCGGCAAGCGAGCACCCGCGGGGGCTCGAAGCCTCTAAGAATAGCAGCAGAATGGCCAAGGAGACGTGGTGCCCCCGGGAGCCCCCCTGCTCCCCGTGTGGCCGAGAAGATGCAGAGACAGTGAGGTAACGAGACTCGCCCGAGGCCCCAAGTGAGCCAGAGACGAAGCTACGAGTGCGAACCCAGGATCAGGTCTTTGTGTTGACCTTCGCGATGACCTTCACCCTTCAGACTTTGATGACTCACTTTTACTTTCTGGAACATATATTTTTACTTCAAAGGCAAAAAAGCTTTAGAACACAGGGTCCCAAGCAGACACTAGTGACTGTCAGAGAAACAACCAGAAAAACAAACAAACAAACAAAAAACAAAGAAAAACACAAAACCACAACAAACTCCTGTGCCAACGACTTCCCTCCCTTCAAATCCTGCCCAGGTTCAGGATTTTAGGGCAGTCTACATAAGTCCTCCAAAAACTGAGGGCTCCATCAATGCATTTGCTTAGTCTCAATTCCCTCCCCCTTATTTTCAGTTCCCGCTTTTATCTATACATTTTTACAGAGAGTCTTGGATCTAAAACAGTCACACCACGGGTGGAAGTGGGAAAGGAGTCTGAGAATGAGTTAGTGAGAGCTGCTTATGTGAAAAGCATCATCACGTCCACAACAACACAGACACACCGATACATTCAGCCTCGAAAGGCTCTCCAGGCGACCAGGGAAGGAAGGGAAAGGTTGGGCCAGAGGGAGTCGGGGGAGACGGGGGAGAGGGACACAGAGAGTTCCCCCAAGAAGCAACACCCAGTCCTTGGAAATGAAGAACAGGGCGGCGGTTGCCGAGGTCGGCATCTGTCAAAGTGAGGCCAGGTGTGAGCTGCTGCTGTGTGCACGCCCCATGCTTACACCCCGTTTTCTGCTTCTCAGTAGTGAACGAACACCCCCTATAGTTGGGTAGTCCCCCCATTCCTGGCCGGGCTCTCTCCCTACCAGTGAGCAAGGACTTGGACTTCCCTTAGAGAAGGTCTCACCGTCACACTGAACCCGGATCCCCTGCAAAGCACAAAGTGTGCAGACCCTTTTGGAAGCACATTCTTGTCTAGAACCTAGGATTCGGTTTTTCCCCAATAGGATCACACCCAGAACATCACCTAGTGAATGCACCATCCAAAGGACTTCCTATGAGAACCCATATGCTTTTGATGAAGCCATCTGCTTCACCAACTGACAAGAGAAAGAAGATTCCAGTTCTTTGAAACTTGTTCCCATCTTAAACTTAAAAGACCATTAAAATGTTTCAGAGCCTGATCTGTTCCCACCAGTAGGGCATGTACAGCTACAAATCAGTGTTTACAGGAAAGAAAAAAAAAAAAAGGCACTGGCCCCTGCTTAATAGTTAACTGTTTCAGCTCGTATATGCTATTTGTTTCATATGGTTTACTCATTCCATGACCTCTGGGATTAATCAAGAAGGATTAAGAGTGCCCTTTGCAAAATTGGCTTTGGACCAAAGGAAGGAAGCCTGAGAATGGGTAAATTAAGGAGTCAACCTCTGTGAGGGACCCAAATGAGAGACTAGAATCCCATGTGCTGAAGCTGGATAGGGTCGGTCCTGTTTGGTGGCCAAGGTGACCGCTCACTCTCAATTGTCCTTTCAGCAGTGAGGTCCAGACACCACACGGAAGAATTCCACGCAGGCGGGGGCTCTGCTGCTGCCGAATCATTTGAACGGTGCATAATTCATGTGACACGTCTTGTTTGCAAATCACTTTGCAATGTCTTTGTCACCCTAACATGCCACGAGGTAAAGTGTCCTCATTCTGTGGATGAGGAAGTTCAAGTATGGAGAAGACCTAGTGCCCCGAGTCACAAATCATTTTAGTGCAGAGCTGAAATGAACTTTACAGTAACTGTGTTACAGAGCATAGCTTAATTAGTGAGTTACTCTGGCTTCCATGCTCTTACACCTACAATTAGATTGAGATAGCTCTCAAAAAAAAAAAAGGAGAAAAGGAAAAAAAATTCCCAAAGTAGGAATCTCTTCATTCTGTTCTGCCCATCCCTAAGCTCTGGCATTGACCTTTTTCAAAGTCTCTTTGCAGTCTCCTTCTGCTAGGAACACAGGGTCAAGTCCACGCAGACCAGTGTGGTTCTGCGGTCTGGGACTACACCCCTAGCCCCGACTGCCAGCCCAAGACAACCAGAAGTTGCTGGAAGTTGCTGGAGCTGTGACCATCAGGATGCCCCTGAGTGATGGAATTATAAACAATCCTCTAGTCTTTTTGTTGTTGTTGTTCTCTATTTTTCTAATTTTCTACAGTTTCCTATTACTCAGAAAAGGTAACCCAATAGCCAATAATAGTGTAGTCTAAGAACTAACAATAATGCTTAAGAAACATTTTGCACCAGGGAGGCAGCCGTGGGAAGAGTGCAAACACAGCCCACCAAGCTGACTGCTTTGAGAGACACCAGAATCTCCTGTGTCTATCAGCTCCGGTGGGCTTAAAAGCCTGTCCCCTTACTCTGCCGGATACCAGCTAGAAGACAGCACAGGAGCCCACCTGGCCGGGAGGCACCAGTGATTTCTAAATATGGTGAAATCACCTCTCCCTAGACTCAGAGGGCTGGATTTGTCCACTGGGATGGTTGGCCCCTGGAGCAAGGAGGAACATTTTCCGAAAAGGCAGCTTCCCTTTAGCTGCGAGAATCACCCAAGCAACCCTCACAAACCACACCAAAGATGACCAGAGTGTATTTCTTTCCACTTCTTTCCCTCAGACGCTTGAAAACCAGTTAATTAACGCTCCCAGAGTAAGCCAGGTGAAGACAGAGTCAATGCCTCTGGGTGCTTGATTTCATTACGCTGAGTCTGACTCCGGTGGGCAGCTTTAGGGACCTAAGCAGCACATCCCCCATTAAATCAGAACAACTACGTGTGGTTCATTTCAGACCTCTTCTCATGACGGTGGAGGACTATTACAAGGGAGGGCCCATACTCAAAGAGTTCCAGGAGATCATCTTCCCTTATCAAAGGAAAGGCAAGCACTATTAGGTGGAACCACTCACCCCCAATGAGAGAAGATACCAGAATGGGCTCAGGGTGCTGCATATGGACACATGATCAAGGAAGGCTTTGTCATGATTTGGTGGAGATGTTGAGTCTTCCTGACTTTGTGATCCCTGAAGCTGAGAGGATGTCGTTATTGAAAGGCTGAGGCTTTCAGGAGGACTGAAGCTGTAATAGGCACATTTAGATTTTTTTTTTTTAATATTTCCATGCCAGGAAGCTACCGACCTCCTTTTGAAGCCTGCAGCCACAACAGACGAGGAAGGTGGCTGCTTGGAGTGTGAGAATGAGCCCCTCTGGAGACAAATGCCTGAACTCTTTCAATCAACTATTTCAAGTTGATGCAGAAGGAAAGTGGAAGTGAGTGGAGGGAGAGGAAAAGGAAACATGGAGAAACCAAAGCTCCCAAAACGGGGAGAGAAAAAAATAGGACCTCTTTCCAGGCAGACGTTCCACTTCCCTGAATCCCCAATCTCATAGGGTAAGGGAGGAAATGAAAGCTGAAATGGGCCCATGCTTAAGGCTGATTCACATGGAGCTCAAAACACATCCATGGTCAGAGAACTTGCACGCACACCTGTTAAGAAATTTGAACTTGACCTGGGGTCAGGGCTGGGGCTTTAATGAGGCTGCTAACCCTAAATTCAATCCAAAGGTTGGGTTCTACCATGAGGTGAAGTTGGCAGAGGCTCCTTCGTCCTTCTCCCTCCCCCTCCCTTTCTCCTTCCTCAGCCAGGCCACTGCCTCGATGATACCACAGGGCGGCAGGTCTTACCCTGGACCCCTAGGTCGGAGGGATCGAGGCCACCCAGGCAAGGACTTGCCATCTGTACAGGGCTTCCATCCTGACCCGTGGCTTAGGCTTTTTATTGGCCCCAAGCAGGTTCAGACCTCAGAGTGTATCTGTTCCTATCTGGCTCAACGTTCCCGCTCTCCTGATGGTTGAGGTAAGCCCAGGTGGTTGACTTCTTTCTCAGGAATCTCTTAACATTTCAGGAAGGTTTTGAAGGGACACAATTAAGGGTCGATCCTAAAGATGAGTAGCTGGAAAGAGTGGCTGATCCATTTATGGCAAGCATGGGATAAAAAAAAGAAGGTATAAATAGTCACAGGTCGGTGAAGCAGTATGTTCAAACATGGCTGCTTAAGAGAAGTTTAAATGGTATCAAGTTGCCCCCTTTCGAAATGCTTTCCCCATCTTCCTGCTGGGAAACAGCTGGAGTTTGGGTCTGGTCACAGACAAGCCCTCTGTTCCCCAAACAGACGCTCATGGACACCTGCCCCTCCCTGCTTGGCGGAGCCCACTCAAGACACTTGGAAGGAAGACACAAGGCCTCTCAATCTGGGATGCTTCTCACTTTTCCTCAAGCCCCAGTATGCCTCGAAGGGGGAAATCTTAACTCTTCAAGAAAAAATTTTTTTTTAAATTCCATATACAATAGAAAAATTGGGTTTTTCTGAAAATGGTTTCTCTTCTCAAAGAATAAATCCTTTATTTTAAAAATCCTTAGAAGCCCAGTTGGAAGGTAATAGCATTTCCTGCTCCATACCTCATCCCACATCTCTCGGCACACCCATACAAGGGGCAAGCGCATGTGAGACCTTCTGCAGAAGCCGCCCAGTGTCGTGGGGAGGAAGCCTTGAGTAGTACATCCACACCCGCGTCCGGGTTATATTGATACAAACACACCGAAGATGCACCGGAGGGTTACACATATACAGACACCCCACATTCAGGCCATTCATGCCCATGGGATGTTCCATCTGGATGTGAATTACACACACACACACACACACAGTCAGAGAGAGCAGATGAGGAGACAGGCAGGACTGGTAGCCTGGTGGACAGAAGAGGGAGAGGTGGTTAGTAGGTGAGGAAAGGTGGGAAAGGTAGGAAGATAGATCAGAAGACAGGTAGATGACACAGGTGCGTGGATGGGAAGGAAGGCTGGTGAGCTGTCGTTGGCAAAGTGCCCCGAGCACTCTTCGTTATGAAGCAACTGAATTCTCAGCTGCATGGTTTGACCCAGGACTGTGCAGCTCGGGGATTCACTCTTTGCCTCCCCAGGGCTGCGCAGCCCCCGCAGGGTCCCCAAGGTGACTGTCAGCGGCTCCTGCCCACTCTTCCCAGCAGATGCTCGTCCCTACAGCTCCCACGACTCTGGCTGACTTCGTGGTTAGCCCACACCTGCAGGGCCAATCGGCTCAAATGAGCCTGAGACACTGGGCTGGACTTCTGCCACCTCTGTCTGGGGGCCAGCCACTATGACGGCTATTAGGGGATGCATGGCCTTGAATATCAAGAGGAAAAGGAAAAAGATGGAAAGAGTCCAGAGTTCTCCATTAATTTACACAATATCGTACAAACTCAAGCCCATGGGACGTGGAGGTGCTCTCTCTGCATGTGACCCATTTTCTTTCATCTGTACAGAGGTCGCCCCTAGGAGAGGGGTAGATGTCCAGTGACAAAGGACAGCTTCCACGATGGGGAGTGAAGGTCTGGTTTGGTTTGGTACGTACTTGTACAACAGCAACAGAGGAAACGTTCCTTCTCCCTCCTGAACCGTGCTCCCCTTCTTCTCTCATGGCTTTGGCACCCAGCTTTGCCTTGAACTCCCAGATTTAGAGGACTAAATCCTGTGGCATCCCAGAACTGTGACGTGAAGGACCACGGGGCCCTCTGAGGCCCAGTGGGTTTGTTCTTGGTTCTGCCCTCTGGGAATTTCAGCTGCACATTACAAATAATAGAAAAATGCAACACAAACGCTAAAAGCCCACGCTCAGAGAACATCCACCACACGCACACACGCCAGGGATCCAAAGCTACGGAACAGGCGCCCACACTGGCTTGCCCGTTCGTTATTCTCCCTCGGTCTCGGGCCTCCGCCCCGGGCCGCAAAAACACCACAAATGATGGAGACAAGTCAGGATGCAGTCTTTCCATTTTAAAAGGTGAAAAGGAAAAAAAGGAAACCACCAGGCGTCGTCTTGCACGCACACGCACACACACGCACGCACGTGCACACATCACAGCGTTACTCCAAGGCTCCAGTCTGCCCGAGCAGGACGGCAGGTGTGGTCAGGGGCAGGGCGGCCTCTTGTTTAACTGGGTATAAGGCAGCTGGAAGGTAAGACTGGGTTTTCTGAGCATCCACTGAAGTGTCCCTTTATTGACGTGGATCTTGCCTCTCAGCACGTTGTTCTCTCCCCCTTCCCACCTCTAAAGCTTGGTCCAAAAGTTCGGCAACGAAGAGAAAACTTCCTCTCGGTCTGTTTCCTCTCCCACTTCTCATGTGTCGCTGGTGGGCCAGGAAGGGAACCAGAACAGGAAGATCAGGAGACGTGGTTCTGCAAATGATCTCAAAGATCTGGTTACATTCTATGAACTACGTACGGGCTTTGTTTCTCTGCGATATGATCGGTGTTGGGGTGGTGTCCTCACTGCGGGCCCAAGGGCGGCACCACCTTCTCTACATCCGTGCCGCTTCAGACACCACTGGCGACATGTCCCTTCCCGGCCCACCACCCCATCCTCGTGAGGGACGGGAATCAGGACGCTACCACGGGGGGGTGATGTTCGTTCTGTCTTCAAGAAACCATGGAGCCAAAAGTTAAGAAGGGATGGAAGAGCCACATGATGGGGACGCTTTCCCCATCCTGGTGATGAGGCAACACAAAGTCCGACGAGATGCGGGTGCCTGAGCCAACTCACCTCTACCTTGGCAGTGGCATCATCTTGAGTTAGTTTGTTTTATATATGTATATTATATATATATTTATATATATATATGTATGGGTTTTTTAGCACACTGTCCCATTCTCGGGTCTGGATTTAGGGCAGTTGGTCCTCGGGACAGGTTGGACAGAAGGGGCCAAGGTACAGAAGAATCCCGAGATCAGTGTGAGGCCCAGGCCCCCCCACGCACAGAACATGGACCATCCGTAGCCGTGGCTGATGTCATCGGGAAGTCCATACAGGTAGCGTGGGTAGCGTGACAGCTCGAAGTTGATTCCAGCCACACAGGTGCACAGTGAAATGATGCAGAAGGTTCCTGGAGGGCGAGGGAGGGAACACGGGGTGAGGGAGAGGGAGAGGGGGGAGGAGAGGGAGGGAGAGAGAGAGAGAGAGAGAGAGAGAGAAGTGAGGTTGATGGCCTTTTCAATTCTCTTGAGTAGGAAAGATGAGAAGACCCAGGTACGAGGCACCTGCAAACAAGATCAATATCTGGAAATATTCACAGGGAGGAGACTAGCGTGAAGAGATCATGGCTTCCTTGCTTTCCAATAATTGCCTGGTCTTGGAAAAACTTGGCAAGTCTCTCCTGTGGGAAAATACTAAATGAGTACCACAGTAGAGTTTCATGTACGGTGTGTAGTGGGGCAGAAGAAAAGGATTCAATTCATTTTTCTAAAGCACTGAAAATTCACTGTCTTTTTTGGGAGACACAAAAAACACCTCCCCCCTCCCGTTTGCTACTTTTTTTTTTTTTTAAGATTTTTTTAAATTTATTTATTTGACAGAGAGATAGCACAAGTAGGCAGAGCGGCAGGCAGAGGGAAAGGGAGAAGCAGGCTCTCTGCTGAGCAGGGAGCCCGATGCGGGGCTCGATCCCAGGACCCTGGGATCATGACCTGAGCCGAAGGCAGCCGCTAAACCGACTGAGCCACCAGGCGCCTCTGTTTGCTACTTTTTTTAAAGAGAAAACGATCTCTATTCTTTCCTACATAAAATGTTCTTATACAACACTGGATTTTCCTTCTCCTGCAAGACAACATTCCCCAAGGCATTCTCCATGGAACACTGACCCTAGGAGATACTCCTTTACAAAGCGGTAGCAGAGTCCACATCTCTGGGAAACTCTGTACGCAACTTCTCGCCCGTGAAGATTTATCACCCACAGTAGCATGAGCTCATGCATCTAACCTAGCCGTATGAGTATTTCACAAACTTACTGAACGAGGGGACCTCCTCTTTAAAAAAAAAAAAAAAAAAAAGACTCCTAGGAACCTTCAATGAGAAGGCTGCTTTAAGACATAGAATGTTATAAAAATGAGAATTATAAACCCATTTTTAACCATTAGAGGTATGTGGTATCCCCAAAATGAGTTCAAGAGCTTTTCTCAATATTGGCTGTGTCTCACGGTCCTTCTGTCAGCCCTGATAGGGGAGGAAGGACCTGTGAAGTCTGAGAAGGCTGGGTTGGGTTGGAGGAAGGAAGAATTTTAGGGGGTGGGAACAAGAATCCAGGGCATTATAATTATATTTATTATAAGACCACCTGCTCCCTGATGGTCAAGTTTCTTTAAGATCCAACCTCGTCTCTTCCGGGCCTCAGGCCCATGAGCGTGCAATAACTTCAATGTCCACAGTGCAGGGAGCGGTACCTAACGTTTATTAAGCATTGTGTGCGAGGAACTGTGTTAAGTGCTTAACATGTATTGAAACTGTCATTCTCTAAATAAATCCATGCAGTAGGTTATATGCTTAGCCCTATTTTGTCCCTATCCCTATTTGATTGAAGAAATTGAGGCCCAGAGAGGTTAAGCCATCTGTCTAAAATCACACAGCTAGTAACTGGTAGACCCAGGCTATGAACTCGGGCAGGCTAGTTCCAGAGCGTGCAGTCTTATCCTCTGTGCTAAGTCATGCAAGGTGGGTCCCTCCTGTTATGTACCTGGGCTCAAGATGAATTCTCTATCACTCTGTCTGGGGTAGGGTAGTCCGGAGGCTTGGACGGCTTGTTAAAGCAGAGGGCTGGGCCCTACCCCCACAGTTTCTGGTTGGTAGGCCTGTGGTGAGGGAGAGGCCCTGAGACTTTGGATTTTTAACAAGGTCTTGGGTGATGCTGATGGTGCTGGTCCAGTGACTACACTTTGGGACCACTAAGTCGGGAAAAGGTTTTAGTAGAGAAAGATGAAAATTAATAGTCCGAAGTTCAGAGGACAGAGGGAAAAAATTACAAATGAGCAATACAAGTGAAAAACACTCAATTTTGCCAACAGCAAAAGACTTGAAAAATAAAACTGCAGTAACAGAACATAATCAAATCAGCTGAGTTTTGGTTTTTGTTTTGCTTTGTTTTTTAATGATTATTTCCAAAACTAGTGAGGGAACAGTAAAATGGACCAACCCATGGCCTCCAGGGGAAGGAAGTGTAAGCTGGTGTTTCCTTACAGGAAAGTGATCCTCAAAATATTCACACCTTTGACCTAGTGATTTCATTTTGGATTAAGAAAGGAATTACACCTGCGAACAAAGATGTTACTATAAAGCTGTGCACGTGGTGAAGGGTGCTTCTAGCACATGGCCGTTGGAGGGGGAGCCAGAGCAAGCCCCAGGTACCCAGTGAACACTGCTCTTTGAGCTGAGAGGTCCAAGCTTTCCGCGGAGTGACTGAAGGTGTTGAGATCCTCTGGTAGCTCTGATCTGCACTCCCAAAGACCACTAAGGAGCCTGCTGCAAGGGCCAGGAGGAAGGGAGGTGGGGGCTGGCGTGGAGGGAGCAGGGTGCAGTGAATAACTGTTCAGTGAACATTCCTTATGGAGGCGACCGAAAGCCATGCACTTAAGCATGCACAAACACATATGGCACCATCATTGCCTGCCTGAACAGGGGTCCCAAAGTTCGGGGAGTTACGAAGCAGCCCTGCCCCTCTTGCTGTACCCTGGGATTCAGACGGAATTCTATGGTGTCCACAGCGGATTAGGTCCTACCTTGGTCCTGCGGAGTCAGCATCTCCCAGGGCAGAGGTTGGGGGAATCTTTTGGTTTTTACAAGTCCCTCAGCTGATTTCTGTCGATCAAGCTGGTGAGAGCCTTGGGTTAGGGCAGAGGGCCTTTGTGTAAGAGAGCCAGGTGAAGGAAGGAGCAGAGGTGGTGCAGAAGGAAGGGGCAGCCTGTGGGGCGTGGCCAGAGAGAAAGTGACAGGCTGCGAGTGCAAATAATCCACATCCCAACAAACCAGAGCCGGCCCGCTGTGCCTCAAGTACGCTTCTTCCACTGCCTGGTTCGGGAACCTGAGTGTGCAGATATCATTTCTAAAATTTAGACATAGGACAGGAAGTGTGTGAGTGTGTGCGTGCATGTGTGCGTGCATGCATGTGTGCGTGCGTGCTGAGGTCAAATCGGAGCTGCCCTTGGAAGGCACTCGGAACCATGGATCTGGAGCCTGATAGAAAGTTCTGAGCTAGAGGGGCGCCTGGGTGGCTAAGCATCCAACTCTTCGTTAAGCATCTGACTCTTGGTTTCGGCTCAGGTCATGATCTCAGGGTCATGGGATCCAGCCCTGCGTCGGGCTCTGCACGCAGCTCGGAGTCTGCTTGAGATTCTCCTTCCCTCTCCCTCTACCAGTCCCCCTGCTTGTGCTCTCTATCTAAAATAAATGAATAAAATCTTTAAAAAAAAGTTCTGAGCTAGAGATGTGGACTGAATCATCTTATACATTGAAGCTGTGTGTGTGAGGAGGTCACCCAAGGACTTTATATAAATTGTTACCTACATAGGATGCTTTAAAAAATGGAGACATTTCTTCCCATCCAAAGGTGCTCTATCCTCCTGATTAAATCAAGTGATTTGTTCTGGGGGAGAAGGTTGACCTCCAGAACTTTTGATCTTCCCAAGTTGCCCGTAGCTGCAAAAGCTCTCTATCTACTGCTTTAACGGTGTGTTCTGCGAGTAGAGGGAACAGGACAGAAAAGATGTGCTTGATAAATTGAGAGTAAAGAGATGAGGTCCATGCGGACCTAATTACCAATTGGAAATGGCCCAGCTTATTGACAGAATACATCTTGTGTTATGTTAATGGAGTTAATTGGGGGATCTTCCTGCCTTACCTTCCTGACAGTTGTTCTGTGACTTTGGAACCTTTTTAAAATTTCTGTTTGTTAGCTCTTGTCAATATTCCCCTCCATGGGCGAACACTTCTAGGGCTCTCACCAAAGCCGGCCCTCTGAGCCAGTCATCTAAGCTACTTGTTGGGAAGTTCTGTGTGACTAAGGGGCCAGGGCTGGAGCACGTGCTGTTAAGCTTCCACATGACGCTGCTGTTGTCCGTTACGATCGAGGATTGATCATTTTACGTACTTCTGTGCTTCTAGAGTCAAACTTGAAAATGTGTATTAAGAAATAGAAATGAAAATACACAGGGGCGCCTGGGAGGCTCAGTCGGTTAAGCGGCCGGCTCTTGATTTCGGCTCAGGTCATGATCTCAGGGTTCTGGGATCGAGCCCTGTGTTGGGCTCCACGCTCAGCACAGAGTCTGCTTAGGATTCTCCCTCTCCCTCTCTCTGCCCCTCCCCCCTGCTTGTGCGCTCTCTCTCTCAAATAAATAAATCTTAAAAAAGAAAAGACATGGATATATGCATGTATATGGTGGATCCTCGATAAATGGACTGAATGGATAACGTGTTGCCATGTTCGTCAGCAGCATCCTCTGACAACCCACTTCAAGGAGGACTTTGACCAGAGTCCCGGAGAGTGAAGAATGTGATGCGGGACAAAGGTGGGCGAGGAGCCTGACTGACCCAGTTTTCTCAGGTGAGGAACTCAATTCTCAGACCTGTAAACCGGTGACTAACTGGGGGGTGTGGGGTGCAGAACGCCCCCACCCCTTGCTGCCTCCACAGCTCTCTGGGGTTCTCCGGCAGAACTACCACAGATGCTGAAAAGCCTCTGTGGAAACCCTGCCTCAGCTGAAGGACGGTGGCCTCCTCTTCATTCACCCAAGAACAGTGTGAGGTCCTCCGCTCCCCTCCCCAGCAGCAGACTGGAGCCTGTGGGGCTAGGTCTTCAGGGTCTGTCATATTATTCTCCATGAGCACTTACTGAGACTTTTAAGTGAGGATCCAAGGAATAATGCATAGTCACATCCTCTTAATAATTCCCCCCATGGCTTGGGGTTTGGGCCTAATTCCAATCAGACTCTAAGGCTAACTATAGTCAGAGTATAGCAGTTATGTGAGAAGAACTCCGCCCCAAGCTCTTCCTTCCAGAGCCAGGCTCTGCTGTGTGCTCTGGACCTGGCTGTGAGAAGTGGCAGGTGTGATGCAGGGTTCTGAAAGGATGAACAGGATTCCCCCCAGGTAGTACACAGAAGGGGGTCCTCCCTGGTCTGGAGAGCGTCCCTCCTTCACCCTCAGCACCCCCCTGTCCTAGGTCTCTACGAAGAGATGAGAAGGCATGCCCATGTACCACCGTCCCTGTGCCTCTTGGTTCCAAAAGGCTCACCGCTCTAGCCTAGTCCAGCGTCTGTCCTTTACTACGTGAGCTGCTGTAACAAGCCCCTGCTAGCTTACCTTCTGTTCTTGCCCCCGTAGAGTAGCCAGTGATATTTTAAAAATTTAATCAGATCAGAATTCTCTCCCCTGCTTACAACCCTCCAATAAGCTTCCTATCACACTCAGAACGAAACCCACACTCCTTACCCGAGTGGACCCTGCCTCCCTATCTGGCCTCATTTCTCACCTTGACTCCTCAAATGTCATCCTCCCAGAGAGATCCTCTCTGGCCTCCTCCTAAAATAGTGCCTCCCCCAGTGGTTTTCCAGCTGTTGTCTCAGGAGCTGTCCCTGGGAGATGGAGAAGAGGCTCCAGCCCTCTCTCCTCTCTTTGGCCAGAATAGCCCTGCTTTGATCTGTGTCCGTGTGAAATTCCATTTGAAGAAAGGAGTCCAGAGATTTCAACATTTTTGAAGAGCACCAGGCTTGTCCATTCGCAAGGGGGCCTCACGGAGGCCATTACAGGGACTAAGCATTGGAGAGCAAAGTCTGATGGACTGTTCCCATAATTGCAAGTCTATGCCTTTGGCAGAAAAAGCTAATCAGTCTCAGCCCTCACTGCCGCTGGTCCTGGAAGGGGCCTTAGACTCCCACTCAGCCCTGCCCCTCCAGGCAGCCCCAAGCAGCCAGCCAGTTGGAAGGAGAAGTGAAATCTAATTGCCCCTCTCTGTGCCAGGACCCTCACTCGCATGGACTCAGAGCTCAGGAAGTCCAGCCAGAAGAGACGCAGACGACAGGCTGTGCTGGGAGATCCTCCAGCTCCAAGAGAACAGCAGCCTCCAGACCCCTCTAGTGTCCCTGCTTGCGAACCCCACCTGGGAGTGGGAAGGATGGCCAACAGGCGGAAGGAACTAGGCAAACATAATGCTTCCTTCTGGTTCTTCAAACACGCCACCTGCTTCCTCTGATGACGCTCCCACCTGAAGCTCTTCAGGACTCGCGACCTTGCAAACCCACAGCCCCGGCCTGGTCCCACCGGTCTGTGTCCCGTGGGCCGCGGCTGAGGAGGACAGGGCCTGCGGGGCTCCCAGGCTGCTGCCCGCCCCGTCGCCGGCCCCCTCGCTCCAGGCACAGCTGAGGCTCGAGGGGGGGTGGGAGAGGAACCAGTTTGCATGCCGGCCTGCCAGCTCCCAGCTCCTGTTCCAACACCAAACACAGTTTTCCCCATCCACCTCCTCCACATCGCTGCCATCTCTAATTAGCACTTCCCGGGTTGCCAGATATTAGATTCCAGTCCCCCCCCTCCAGGCCCCCACCCCCGAGTTTCAGTTTCTCAGCTGTTTGATGACTTCCCCCTGCTTGGTATCTCCTCCCTCAGTTTCCCAGCTGCCCCTTGATCCCGGCTTCGTGCCATCTCTCTGTCCCGCCCCGTCTCCTGCAGGGGCTTCTCATCCTCCTTTCGTCTTGGCAGACTTGAGGTTCCCAAGCTCTCGTCCCACGTAACACACTCCTTCGGGCAACTTCACCCTCTTCTCTGACTGGAGATGCCACCACTACGTGATGGAGTCACAGGACCGTGTGGTATTATGTGATATCCTATGCTCTATAATTATGTGTCCCCAACCCCCAGCGACACAGAATGGTCAAGGTATATCCTTGGCTACACACAGGTTTCCAGCACTTTCCCCACAAACCCCAATTCCCTTAAGCTCCTGACTTCTTTATTCTTTCAAAATCTTGCCTCCCTAGTAGGGTGATCATCCATCCTCGTTTGCCTGGGGGTTGGTGGTGGGGGTGGGGCTGTGGCCCTGGAATGTGGGATTTTCATCCTAAAACTGGAAAGTCCTGGGCTACGTGGGACAGATCAGTCACCCTTGCAGGTTCCCTCACTCCGGCGCCCTTCGGTGGTACTGCCACAGGGACCGATAAATCCTTGCTCATAAATTAAATTAACCATCATGCCCTCACCCAGCGAGGAGGGACACGCAGACGCCTGGAATGTGTTGCTTATATTGAGACATGCCACGCTGGGGTTACACGGTTTGGGGGCAGCTAACTCCTCTACCACCCTGAGTTGTCACCAAGGAACACTTAATCAGCAGCCCAATAATGGTCCCACCCCAGGACCACCTTAAAGCTCAATAATCTTAGAGCCAATATTCAGAGTCCTGGTGTTAACCCCTGCTCAGCTCACTCCTGAGCACGATTGCAGGTGTGTGAGGTGTGGGCAGGGCCTCCCGTGGGGCTGCTGCTATATGAGCACACAGAGGATCGGGGTGGGGGGGGTATGTGTCTCCACCCCCTTCAGGGATTGTCCGAGAAGCCATGTGAGTAATGCCCCAGCAATGGACCCTGTGTACAAACAGCAGCAACACTGAAGTCTCAGGTTAGGCAGCAGAAATGCTTTTCCTAATTCAAGAAGCCATCAGCCAGGAAACCGAGACCTTCGAGAAGGTTCTCACAGGAATGCAGGGCAGTTACATATTGTGTGCACAGGCACTTTCCCAAATATCCATTCCTTATGTGACCAAGTGGCGCCCAAAACTTCACTGGAGTATCATTCCTGCAGCTTTCTAGGGCAGGAAATCCATCTGCGTGACACTTTCTGCTCCTGGGAAGGAGGAATGACGTCTGTGTATCCCTAGCCCTCGCTCGTCCATTCCCTTGTTGCTTCGTGGCCAAAGGGCCTCTGTTCTGCCCAGAGCCCACCAGCGTGCTGCAGATCGGTGGCTGCAGACGTGCCTGTGTGGGCATGCACGTCAGGGGTCAGGGACGTCTAAGCGGCAGCCCCAGTCCTCCCTCACACACTCCCCTGCGAGCCCCGCTCTGGTCTTTAACACCATAAAGAAGCAAATTGGCAAACAGAAAAAGGGTCCCTCCTCCTCCAACAGCAGCATCTGCATCCCGGGAAGCTGATGTATACTAAGCCCTTCCTTTGCGGAGATTAAATGTCTCGGCAGCATTTAGCTCTCAAGAGCACTTTATAGCTTTGCTCAGACCTGCATGGAATATAAATTACTGTTGAATTATACACCATTGCATCCAACAGCCAACAGGGAGCCCACGTGGGGTTTCACATCCAAGGTGCCTTAGGGTTCGTTGGGATGACGCATGGAGCAGTGACAGGCTCCAAGAACACCCTGCAAGGCATGGCGCCCTGAGTTTGGACAAAATCATCCGTCATTCTGCAAACTCTGCAAACGCTCTAAGCAGAGACACGGCAGGAGCGCCGCACCCCCTTAAGCCCCCACCCCCGCCGCCAGGCAAGCAGGGTGCGTCTCCGTGCTACCAGACTGCTATGTCTAGGCATGCTGATACCCCCCTAATGCAACGTCCCCAACTCAAGCACTGAAAGGGACTGGCCCGTGCATACAGCTTGGTATCGGTTCTCAAGACAATGCTTCCAGATTCCCAACCTAGAACCCGGAGCCTTATGCCTTTGTTTTCATACCCCGTATGGTGGCCACCAAATCCGGAAGCACTGATGTCAGGGACACAATTGTGTCCTCGAGAAATTCCTATGGTGCAGCCCTAACCCCTGTGCTTCAGAATGTGACCGTAGAGAAGACAGGGCTGTCACAGAGCTAATAAAGTTAAAACGAGGCTGTTGGGGGGGGGGGGTCCCTAATCCAAACTGACTGGTGTCCTTACAAGAGGAGGAGATGAGGACACACAAAGAGACACCAGGCAGCTGCATGCACAGAGGGAAGGCCAAGGGAAGAGGCAGCAGCAAGAGGGTAGCCCGTCTGCCAGCCGAGAAAGAGGCCTCAGAGGAGACAACCCCGCTGATGCCTTGATCTTGCGCTTCCAGCCTCCGGAACGGTGGGAAAATAAATTTCTCTTGGTTGAGCCACCCGGTCCACGGTTTTTTTGTTTTGGCAGCCCTAGCAATCTAATGCAACAGGTGAATACATAATACATGGCTTATTACCATAACATTATAATCCACGATAAAATAAGACCATCTTTATTTCCAGACTTCATGGCCTCCCTATATCTACAACAGGTATCTAAACCTAGCCATAGAAAACAATAGATGCGGGGCATCTTCTGGGGTTTTTCCCCACCTGGTCTTCCTCACCAATGTATCTATGCTTACTGCCACTCAATACCCATCAATCCATTTATTCTTTTGGGTATCGATTTAGATCTGATCACAACATCCATGGCTCCGTAGCCTCTCCACCAAAGACGGAGCCTTCGCAAACCTGTGCAAACATCTCAAGGGCTAAGCAAATGGAGGGGGGCATTGGTGGTGTTCAAGTGCTTTTTGTGATGGGAATTTACTAAGGTCAAGGAACCTCTGTCCGATGTCCTTGACTGGAGTTGGACATTTCCATCCTCCACCTGGTCTACGCAGAGTCCAGCTAGCCTTGATGGTCTAAGCCAAGTCCCATCTCTCAAGAAGCCTTCCCTGAGAATGCCCAGCTCAAGATTATTCGTATGTTTTCTGAATCCACAAAGCTTTTTTGGTCTGGAACAGGTGACCTGACAATTATAGGGACCCCTTCTTGTTCTCTGTTTTAGTTTGTGTTCAGCTAGACCTCACTTTCTCCAGAATTGGCGTGGAAGTGATGTCTCCTTCAGCATCACACACAGCGCTGAGCATGAACTCCATGTCACTAGAAGAAATGGACTTCCAGGCTATCGGGCTTTCAAGTGAAAATACGGGCTTTGAAACCTAGAGGGGAATGAAGTTGACGCCATGCCCGGTCCTCCCATCCTTTTCCGTTTCCGTCCTCCCTCCTAAGCCGTTCTGATCGCATGTGCGCACCTACCCAGTTTCACTGGGCACCTTGGGTTTCAGGAAGCATTTTTATATTCACAGAAACTCTGCACTGCAATAATACCCTCTCTGCAGGATTATTCTGAAAAGCGATAATAAATGGGAAAAGGCTTACAGAAGTTGAAATTGCTTTCTATACATAAGGTATAATATTAGAAATGGAAGGCTTTAAAGGAGGGTGAGGAAAAATTGTTCTGGAGGACAAGAAAAAAATGAAGTTGCTGTTTTCCTCTCCATCACCCATTCCACGTGCCCCCCAGGCCCCGGCCCCGCCCCAGGGTAAATGCCACACAGGGAAGCAATTGCTTCCAGAGGAAGGACTCACTCAGGACTCTTGATTCTGTGGACTTTGTGGAACCAGAACCACAGGATTTGGAAGATCTCAGAATACATTTCTGAGACAGATCCTCCTCAGTAACGGAACTTATCTTTGGGCTCAGAGAGGTTACAGCATCCAGCAAGGGTTACATGATGACATGGGTGGAGAAGCTTGTAAGCCTGTGGTTCAACCAGGATGGGTAAAAGGAAGCAGCCCCAATAGCAGTGTTGGGAATCCGTATGTAACAGGAGTTGGGGACCTTTTCAAGCTGCCACAAAGCTTCTGACCTGGTTCCTCTGGCATATAGGGGCGGCATCTAGAATTCTCCCACACTCATTTATTAAACACCTAGTATATAGTGGACTGTGAGAGTTATCTTTTTATCATTTTTAGTCTACACAGTACAGTTTCCTTTTTTTTTTTTTTTTTTTTTTTGGTAAAACTACCACCATTCTTTCTCACAGGGAAGCCATTCTGGGATCGTAAAGATTCATTCAGACATAGGCAGCTGACTCGAAGCAAGTCTCAGGTGGTGTAACTTCTGTACCTCGAGGCTGGGATCACAAATGTGTGCAAATACGTGCAGCACAGAACATACATTATATAATCCACATGTAATCTCCAGTTAAATAACTTACTAAAGGTCCCAAAGCATACGCGACAGAGCAAATACCTGATTTTGCCGTAAAACCTAGACTATCTGGTTGCAGAAACATCTGAGAACTATACATTATACTTGCTCCCACTGCCCCCATTAAGAAAAATCCCCCAGAAAAAGTCACCACTGGCCCACTCCACTTTTGCCCACCTGCCCTGGGATATTTCATGCTTCATGGAGCAAGAATTGGGAAAATCA